ACATATTTAACAGGGCGATCATGTCTGTCTCACAGTCCTGTGGGTTGAAACAGGAGTATCTCGGGTTACTGGTTCATGGGGGTGCAGTAAGTCTCGTCCTGGTTGGTGGCGACCATCTTCTCAGGGTTGACACCGGCAGCTGACAGGATGCTCTGCATACTTTGCAGGGTCTCCTCAGACATGGTGGGCTCTCTGCTCAGGATCCAAGCAAACTCCAAGCGGAACAGACCGAAGTCTGAGCAGCCGTAGACCAGGGAGTGGGTCTCGTAGTCGGAGGACAGCACCCAGTAGGGGCCAGGGGGAGAAGGAACTGAAGGGATGAGGAGGAGAGTTAGTGCTGCTGGAATATTCAGCACACTGGAAACTTCTTACAATGACTTAATTACAGAATATATTTCAGAAAAATTCCTACTGTCAGTGAAGGAGACCTCCAGCTTGGCAGGCTCAGAGGGATGCTTGACCTTGGCAGAGCCGACGATGAAATTAATGCTTCCATCCTTACTAAAATCAGAGAGTTGAAACATTCAAATCCTAAGTATAAGACACATATTATTGTACTTGCTCTTATTTGTTAAATTACATTCTGTATCTCTATACTTTTCACAGATGTTGTATACATTGAAGAATGAAACTCCTGACTGTTGTCTAACTTTGTTTGTGTTATACTCTGTATGTTCTTTGGTGGGAACTGTCTGTTTAGACAGAAACGGTGCTGTGGAAAAGAATTTCCCCAGACTTAGACTTAAAAAGTCTAATTTTTAACAAAAGAGGGGTTTTTGCAGAGGACAACCAATAAGAACTTTAACAACATTAAGGTTATTAACAAAGTAGTTTAGCAAATGTGACAGCTGTAGACAACTCTGTGGAAATGATTAAAAAAACATTTTTAACATTAATAATAAAAATACTATTTTAAGGACTATGATTGAAATGTTGTTGATCCAAAATGTTGTAGAGATGAAGGAGTATTTATTTTCAAATGAATATGTATCAACCTATAAAAGTGTTAGATATTTATGTGGTCTGGACTCACAGCAGCTCCCTGTTGAGGACTCCGATGACTCCTGGACTCTTTGGGCTGTAGGTGGCAGTGCCGCACTCGCCTTTCTGGAACTGTGTTGGCAGCTTCATGATCTCATACCACTTACCAACGTACTAACAAGAAACACAGAATGTCACCAAAAAAACAACAACTGATATATCCTAAACATTTAATGAATATAAATACGGACAGATAGTTTATACTTTTACAGCATTATCGACTTTATATTTCATGATGTTTATAGCAGATAAGAATAAATGGTTCATATTCACCCTGCTGGAATCAAAGTTGGCCTGCACAGGGGTTTGGGGCATTTTCCAAACCTCAGCATCTGAGCACTGGCTGCCATAACACACAGCAGAGTCAAGGAAATCACCTGCATGGCCTTCATCTTTACACCTCGAGCTGCAAAGAACAAAAAAAAACATTCAACCGTCAAAAACTTCAAAAGATTGCTCCTGAACTCCTGAAGAAAAGAGCAGGAGACGCATTAGGAGGAGTAATGGCTGCAGTCTGCTCACCTGTATGTAATCAGAGATACTACACTGAGTGCTGGATGGTCACTTTGGGGGTCTTTTATAGATCTAAGCGCCTGTAGCGTCATCATTGATCACATTCTCTCCTTGTGTTTACATGTAATTGTGTTATGAGGAGGTGGGGCATGTGTGGGAGACGACATCTGTTCAAAGGGCCTCACACTTTCTTATCTTTGTAGTACTATATCCACATTGTCATTCACTCCTCTCTATGTTTTCATCTCATTGAAACCTCTTTTCATATTATCATCCCTTTCAAAAGTATAGTTGACATGAATGGGAGCCACATTAAATTTAAAACCACCAGCCCTAGATAACCACCCCCACATTTGATTATTTCCTTTAAATTTTTGTTTGTCAGAACAATAAAAACGTTCAGTGCATGCAAGCAGTGCCTTCATATCAAAAGGGAGTTTCCACATATTATCTGGATGTTGGGATTTATTTCTAACTTATGTCCCCAATTGTGATTTTTGGAATGTACTTGTATCGAGGGAAAGGCTTCACTTACTGTTTTTCATAACTGCTAAAACAATAAATCCCATTCCATGAACCAAATGAATTAATCACTCTTCTGGCAAAACCTATTTTTTGTGCAAAAACTCTAAACACATTCTCACTTACTAAAATATATTTTGCACTGTGTTTCACTTGTTATGCAAAACCGCAACCACAGGTGTCAATTTTACACAAAAAACTACAAACTGAAAACACTTGTTGCTAATTATGTGATTAAACCAATGTGAGAAAATTCAGAGTGCATGAGTGAGTTTAAAACTGATAATACAGAGAATCTTTTAATTTCAATCCCAAAACCCTGGCTGCAGTCAGCTTCCGCTAAAACATAATCATTACACAAACTCTCACCTCTCACACCACAACATTGTCGAACATCAACATATTCAACACATAGACACTGCTCAACTCCTCAACTCTCTTCTACCTCTCAAGTCCCCCTTACAAAGCACCTTCTCTCTCTCCTCTTCTCTCTTTCTCTCTATCGCTTCTTTCACTTCTTGTATCCTTTCTTAGGTTTTTCATATGGTTTTGTAGTTTTTTTGATCGTAGTCTGATGTGTGTCTATTGATGTCTTAGTACTTTGCTGTCTTTATTTATTTTATTTGTTTTATTTTATGTTTTACTGTATTTTGGAGTCCTGACCTTGTCTGTTTATTTCTTTGTGCCTCATTTTTATGTATATATCACCAGTTTGTCACTTTATTGCACCTAATAAAAAAAATAAAAAAAACATGCAACATACTCAAAATGTCTTACCATGTCATGAAGGGTTTGTTTACCATCTCTTGTTAGCATGCTAGCAACTTTATAATGAGGTTGTTATGATGTTATGTTTACAAAGATTATCATCAAGTTGAACATGTTAGCATGCTAAAATGGCCACAAATACCGACTAGCAAGTATGTTGTATTAACAGAAAGATAACTTTTTATCTTATTTTTAAAACAACCCTAAATGCTCCTATCGACATGCTAACATGCGCACAAAGACAATGCTAACATACTGATGTTTATCAAGTATATTTTATATTTATACTATCTGAGTTTACCATGTAAGCATGCCGATGTCTGCTTATTAGTATAAATTAAGCTGTGGCATTTTGTGAAATAAAGCACTGCACAAAATAACGAGTTCAGCCATTTATGATAGCAACATAAAAAGAGATGAATTTCTTATCAGTCTTTAAAGTTATTTGCTTCAATGTATCACCAGGGGAACATTAATATCTTTACCAAACGTATGTCATAGAGCTATATGTTGAAATATTATTAGCATACATTTTACATTCATGGTAAGAGGAACTCAGGGGATAAACAGAGTCACTGAAGTGTCATGTAAACGATTGGAGCGGATTTATCCTTCAGACCGATGTGTGGTGCCTGACTGGGGAACATCTCACTGTGCTTCTCATGCAAAGTTAATATAATAAACTTATTTAAACAGTAGTGCGGGTTAGTGTGTCTTGTCTGCGAACCTCTGCGGTGGTTGTATAAAAAACAATATTGAAAATATATTACCTGTTCGTAACATTACCTTTGCTCTCATAGTTTTCCTTCATAAAATAGCTGATTGGTTAGTATTCAGCATGTACTGTGCTCATAAATAACTTGCTAAAGCCCATATTTAACAGCTTATTTGATTTGCCTTTAAATATGCAACAGCTGCTGATCTCTGCATTCTTCTTCTATTAGTACAATATTTGCACTAACTGAATCTTTTTAAGTAAAAATAGTATTCAAATGTTTGAATTAAGTAATATGTTGAGAAAAAAATCCAGTGAACTGCCCTTCATTAAGTTTACATGAGTCACAGTGCACAAGGTTAGTAAAAATAAAATGGCATGCTGAACCTTAAAAAATAGAGAGGAAAGTATAAAAGCGGTGAATTCTCCAGTTTGCTTTCAATCAATCTGACACAGGCAACGAGTTGGAGATGAGTCAGACTTTAAGCCTCCTGGCAAACAGATATAATGCACCCAGTTTTCAGACAACTCATCCGCACCCCTTATTATGCAAATGTATGCAAAACTCTCAGCCTCAAATTAAATATTTTAAAAAGTCACCATAATGAGATCTAATGAACACTATCAAAGAATGCTTTACGCTGGTTGTCCACAAGTCAAAACATCATATTTGCAAACATATTTTGGTTGGTTTTGACTTTATTCTAGTTAAAATGAACCTTACATCTCCCTTATGGAACCAAACTGAAGAACTTACACAAAACTGGAGCAACAGGCCACAGGTCTATACACTTTGTAATATTGTTTACTGCAGATCCAAAATGAATGAATCAACGAAAAAGGTATTGGAAATAGTGGAAAGAAAAAAATCTTTAATGGACAGAAACCTCATGAAGAACCAGAGTTATTAATAGACAGACATCTTTCACGACTGGACCGGATGGACCCTGGGAAATGGGATGGCAGAGAGGCAGAAAAAAAAGAGAACTTTATATGAACCTATACAGTATGAACTTTGCAAGATGAACACAGATTTTTTTTTTTTTTTAAATTGTATATAGTGGTCATGTTTGTACTGGGTTAATGTTTGGTGACTTTGAACACAATTACCAGTGACTTAGAGCCCTTATTTGGCTGACTCGGCACATCTCAGGTCTAACCATACATCTACATTCATGAGCAGGAGGTATACATTTAGCATTTCTGGTTTAATTGACATGTATGAGTGATGCTTCTTCAACTTGTTATTTTGTGTAATTTATTCTCCAAAGGCCTCAAACAGTTGATTGCATTCAATCATATACATTATTAAAATTCAGGCGCTCATTGTTCATGTTTCACAGTCCTTCTTCTTTAAATATTGTACTCATTTGTCTTTGTGGTTCAGAGGGCATGTTGAAGAGAGGAATACAGATTACAGAACAAAACACATCACACAATGTTTTTCTTACAGGTTTATTGCACTGACTTTGCATGACATATTTAACAGGGCGATCATGTCTGTCTCACAGTCCTGTAGGTTGAAACAGGAGTATCTCGGGTTACTGGTTCATGGGGGCGCAGTAAGTCTCGTCCTGGTTGGTGGCGACCATCTTCTCAGGGTTGACACCGGCAGCTGACAGGATGCTCTGCATACTTTGCAGGGTCTCCTCAGACATGGTGGGCTCTCTGCTCAGGATCCAAGCAAACTCCAAGCGGAACAGACCGAAGTCTGAGCAGCCGTAGACCAGGGAGTGGGTCTCGTAGTCGGAGGACAGCACCCAGTAGGGGCCAGGGGGAGAAGGAACTGAAGGGATGAGGAGGAGAGTTAGTGCTGCTGGAATATTCAGCACACTGGAAACTTCTTACAATGACTTAATTACAGAATATATTTCAGAAAAATTCCTACTGTCAGTGAAGGAGACCTCCAGCTTGGCAGGCTCAGAGGGATGCTTGACCTTGGCAGAGCCGACGATGAAATTAATGCTTCCATCCTTACTAAAATCAGAGAGTTGAAACATTCAAATCCTAAGTATAAGACACATATTATTGTACTTGCTCTTATTTGTTAAATTACATTCTGTATCTCTATACTTTTCACAGATGTTGCATACATTGAAGAATGAAACTCCTGACTGTTGTCTAACTTTGTTTGTGTTATACTCTGTATGTTCTTTGGTGGGAACTGTCTGTTTAGACAGAAACGGTGCTGTGGAAAAGAATTTCCCCAGACTTAGACTTAAAAAGTCTAATTTTTAACAAAAGAGGGGTTTTTGCAGAGGACAACCAATAAGAACTTTAACAACATTAAGGTTATTAACAAAGTAGTTTAGCAAATGTGACAGCTGTAGACAACTCTGTGGAAATGATTAAAAAAACATTTTTAACATTAATAATAAAAATACTATTTTAAGGACTATGATTGAAATGTTGTTGATCCAAAATGTTGTAGAGATGAAGGAGTATTTATTTTCAAATGAATATGTATCAACCTATAAAAGTGTTAGATATTTATGTGGTCTGGACTCACAGCAGCTCCCTGTTGAGGACTCCGATGACTCCTGGACTCTTTGGGCTGTAGGTGGCAGTGCCGCACTCGCCTTTCTGGAACTGTGTTGGCAGCTTCATGATCTCATACCACTTACCAACGTACTAACAAGAAACACAGAATGTCACCAAAAAAACAACAACTGATATATCCTAAACATTTAATGAATATAAATACGGACAGATAGTTTATACTTTTACAGCATTATCGACTTTATATTTCATGATGTTTATAGCAGATAAGAATAAATGGTTCATATTCACCCTGCTGGAATCAAAGTTGGCCTGCACAGGGGGTTTGGGGCATTTTCCAAACCTCAGCATCTGAGCACTGGCTGCCATAACACACAGCAGAGTCAAGGAAATCACCTGCATGGCCTTCATCTTTACACCTCGAGCTGCAAAGAACAAAAAAAAACATTCAACCGTCAAAAACTTCAAAAGATTGCTCCTGAACTCCTGAAGAAAAGAGCAGGAGACGCATTAGGAGGAGTAATGGCTGCAGTCTGCTCACCTGTATGTAATCAGAGATACTACACTGAGTGCTGGATGGTCACTTTGGGGGTCTTTTATAGATCTAAGCGCCTGTAGCGTCATCATTGATCACATTCTCTCCTTGTGTTTACATGTAATTGTGTTATGAGGAGGTGGGGCATGTGTGGGAGACGACATCTGTTCAAAGGGCCTCACACTTTCTTATCTTTGTAGTACTATATCCACATTGTCATTCACTCCTCTCTATGTTTTCATCTCATTGAAACCTCTTTTCATATTATCATCCCTTTCAAAAGTATAGTTGACATGAATGGGAGCCACATTAAATTTAAAACCACCAGCCCTAGATAACCACCCCACATTTGATTATTTCCTTTAAATTTTTGTTTGTCAGAACAATAAAAACGTTCAGTGCATGCAAGCAGTGCCTTCATATCAAAAGGGAGTTTCCACATATTATCTGGATGTTGGGATTTATTTCTAACTTTGTCCCCAATTGTGATTTTTGGAATGTACTTGTATCGAGGGGCTTCACTTACTGTTTTATAACTGCTAAATAAATCATTCCATGAACTTAATCACTCTTGGCAAAAACTCTAAAACATTCTCACTTACTAAAATATATTTTGCACTGTGTTTCACTTGTTATGCAAAACCGCAACCACAGGTGTCAATGTTTACACAAAAAACTACAAACTGAAAACACTTGTTGCTAATTATGTGATTAAACCAATGTGAGAAAATTCAGAGTGCATGAGTGAGTTTAAAACTGATAATACAGAGAATCTTTTAATTTCAATCCAAAACCCTGGCTGCAGTCAGCTTCCGCTAAAACATAATCATTACACAAACTCTCACCTCTCACACCACAACATTGTCGAACATCAACATATTCAACACATAGACACTTCTCAACTCAACTCTCTTCTACCTCTCAAGTCCCCCTTACAAAGCACCTTCTCTCTCTCTCTTCTCTCTTTCTCTCTATCGCTTCTTTCACTTCTTGTATCCTTTCTTAGGTTTTTCATATGGTTTTGTAGTTTTTTGATCGTAGTCTGATGTGTGTCTATTGATGTCTTAGTACTTGCTGTCTTTATTTATTTTATTTGTTTTATTTTATGTTTTACTGTATTTTGGAGTCCTGACCTTGTCTGTTTATTTCTTTGTGCCTCATTTTTATGTATATATCACCAGTTTGTCACTTTATTGCACCTAATAAAAAAAAAAAAAACATGCAACATACTCAAAATGTCTTACCATCTCATGAAGGGTTTGTTTACCATCTCTTGTTAGCATGCTAGCAACTTTATAATGAGGTTGTTATGATGTTATGTTTACAAAGATTATCATCAAGTTGAACATGTTAGCATGCTAAAATGGCCACAAATACCGACTAGCAAGTATGTTGTATTAACAGAAAGATAACTTTTTATCTTATTTTTAAAACAACCCTAAATGCTCCTATCGACATGCTAACATGCGCACAAAGACAATGCTAACATACTGATGTTTATCAAGTATATTTTATATTTATACTATCTGAGTTTACCATGTAAGCATGCCGATGTCTGCTTATTAGTATAAATTAAGCTGTGGCAT